TCTCTATTGTTCTCTACTGTTCTCTATTATTATCCACTGTTCTCTATAGCTCTCTATTGTTCTCTACTGTTCTATATTATTCTCTATTGTTTTCTACTGTTCTCTATTGTTCTATATAGCTCTCTACTGTTCTCTATTGTTCACTACTGTTCTATATTGTTCTATACTGTTCTATAGTATTCTCTGTTTTCTATAGTTCTCTATTGTTCTCTACTCTTTGCTACTGTTCTCTATAGCTCTTTATTGTTCTCTATTGTTCTTTACCTTCTTGTGTTCGTAGGAAACAATATTTTGATCTGATGAAGTTGACTCAGACGATGACAGAAAGTGAACTTCACACTCTGTCTGAGAAATATGACTCGGTGTATCTTCATCCTGTAAGAACACACACACACATACACACACAGACAGAGATGTTTACGATCCTGTATTTGAAAGTCTAACTCAGGGGTGTCAAACTCATTTTCACTCTGGGCCACATGGGCACCATGGTTGTAAATGTAAGACCGTATATATGTAACTACTCCCTAACGTATTGTTAAATAACTCTCTGCAGTTGATTATTGTTTATTCAAGTGTAAACATATTGTACATGCAGTTATATAACCTCAGCCACATCAGTTTTATTCTTTCTACCTCAGAGCTGCTTTCAAGGCTGTGTTTGCTGAGTACAATCCCACGTGAAGTATTTCATTGGGGCCTTGAGTTTGACTCGTGGTCGAATGTATACACAACTGATAAAACCTTTGTTTTTGTCTAAATAAACTACCTAAACTTACCTGCTACTCTACTGTCTACTGTCTGTGTGTGTGTGTGTGTGTGTGTGTGTGTGTGTGTGTGTGTGTGTGTATCAGGAGTCCTACCAGGTGAGTGTGTCTGCGGTGGGTTCTGTCCTCCAGCTGGTCGATCAGGTGATGACCTCAGACCTTAGGAACGGATTCGCTGTCATCAGGTAACAACATTGAGGTGCTGTTAAAACATTAATGAAACATAATGATTGAAATAGTTCAATAACCTCTCTGTCTGTCTGTCTGTCTGTCAGACCTCCAGGTCATCACGCTCAGTCTAATGAGTCCAACGGTTTCTGCATTTTCAACAATGTGGCGATTGCAGCTCGATACGCTCAAACCAGACACTCAGTCCGCAGGTAAGTGTGTGTGTGTGTGTGTGTGTGTGTGTGTGTGTGTGTGTGTGTGTGTCACTTCCTGTCAGTGTTGGTGTGTGGGAAGCCAATGAGGGCTCATGTTGTCTTGCAGCAGCACCTCTTGCTAGTTGGTTGGGAGGCGTGTCTGATTACTCTGCTCTGATTGGCTGATGATCACTCTGATATCTGTGACATTAGCTCAATTCTGGCTCCTTTTATTTTGAAGGGCAGAGGTTTACCAGATGTCTTATTGTTTCCATGAAGCTGGAAACTTAACTGAAATGTTTCCTTTCTCAATGTAATGTGTGTGTGTGTGTGTGTGTGTGTGTGTGTGTGTCAGGGTGTTGATAGTGGACTGGGATGTTCATCATGGTCAGGGCATCCAGTACCTGTTCCAGGAAGACCCCAGGTACAATACTGACAGACAATCTGGTTACATTTTCTTTATGAAAACAACAAAGAGGAAATCCATCCAGTTAACATTGTGTGTGTGTGTGTGTGTGTGTGTGTGTGTGTGTGTGTGTGTGTGTCAGTGTCCTGTACTTCAGTGTCCACAGGTATCAACAGGGATCTTTCTGGCCTCACCTGTCAGAGTCTGATAGTCAGTTTGTTGGCAGCGGACGAGCTGAAGGAAGAAACATCAACCTGCCCTGGAACAAGGTGACTGTCCTCACTGTTAACTGTCCTCACTGTTAACTGTCCTCACTGTTAACTGTCCTCACT